AATGAACTAAGCTTGGCCGTTTATAGGCAATTACGCTTAGAGAAATTGGAGAATGTATATGCACACATGGATGTGTTCTGTACAGAAGCAATACTCAAATGTGACTCCCACTTTTAATAGGATTTCACCAAGGGGAAAATGCAGTGTGGAATAGTTTGGAATGGCTGCCTCCCATGTTGATTGGGAACAATGGGTTAGGGGAAGTGGGATTTCTCCAGTCAAGCTCCACATGAAAGTGACTCCTAAGCTATGACAGTAACACTGGCTGAGAGTTCAGTCCTAGGTAGTGATGGATGTTTTGTCAGGAAACTGCCTCATCTTATGATGTATAAATTTTTCTGTAAAAGTAATTTCTACAGCAGATAGCAACACTAATCAACTTTGGTAAATCTGGGAAAAAAACTAAGAAGGGTTGGACCTGATTAGGACTTGGACGGATGACCAAAAGGCATGGTTGTAGGCTAGATGAGCAAGTTAATAATATTTTGAAAGAATGCAGTGACAATGGCTAATCACCTCCATACTGTTACCAAGTGTGATATGTGGATTTGGTTCTATATTGTGATTATGCTCTCTCAGAACCAATAAATTAGGTAAGATTATTTGCTAGGGGAACAGCAGCCGTTACAAGCTAATTTTCCTAATAATCCACCTTGCAGCATTTTCCACCCTTCCCATGAAAAGGAATAGGAAATAATTATATAAGCTGTACAGATGAAATGCAATAGAATCTCATGCTATGCTATTGTGCTACTCCTCTGTAATATCTGGTCAGTGTCATCTTTCCCTTGAAGGCCAAATGTTAGAGAGGAGGAGCCTTTGTTCAATTAGTATGTACTCCTTGTGGGTCTGACCTTTGAATGCTAGAAAAATTAGAAAGTTAATTGAAATCAGTTGAATTATTTTCAGCTAGCATTAGAGACCCAATAGGTTTATTACATTGTGATTATAGAAATTCATTTATTGTCCAATCTCAGTTTCATTTTGATACGGGAATTTGGTTTCCTTCTGAGTTTGGATTTGGCAAATAGTCCTTTGATTAAACACGTTTAATGAATTATATCTTGTTGCATCCTTTGTAAAATTATTTGGTACATTTGCTCTTTATTCTTTTTCTATTATTTTCATTTTAAAGAAATACATGGTTATAAATTTAAATGATGGGCAGTCAATATTTTAAGTCCTTGTTTTGAAAAAGTATTGCACCATTTTCAGTACATTACTTATATTGCTACATAGACATTTCATAGCGCATGTATTAGAATATTGTAACTTGAAGACAGGGGATTATAGGATACTTTGATGATTTTGTTACTGTAAGGGCCTAGATACTTACGAATCCTTCATAGGCCACCTTGAATACTCTCTTGGAAGAATAGTGACCCTAAAAAAATAATGTGTTGCATGCCTCTAAGAGAAATTATGGTGATTGACAGCCTCTAGCATGCAGGATATGATGATCTTGGACACATATTTAAAACAAAAAGTAAAGGAATCTTAAGTTACCCATAGCAAAATTCTGAGAACTGTATTAGGACAAAGTATTTTATTAAGCCAATTCAGGATTACAAATGAGTGCACTTTTCAGTTCTCGAGAAGGAAGAAGTTCACAACAACAACAAAAGCTGGAGGAAGAGAGGTTTAAGTCTGCATTCAAAGTCATATGCGGTAACTCATCATACTGAAGCATGCATTCTAAGCAGTTGATTGAACGAAGTATGTAAGCTGCTTCTCACATGGTGCTAGCTATAAACCATGGCTCATAAACAGCCAGTGATTGGGTCTGTATGTTGTGCTAACCTAAAAATAAACATGTTATGCTATCTGAAATCAAGCTCCAGCATAGGTTGAGATATTTTCCAAGCCGTAATTAAGACAAGTTTACTGGAATGATGAAACAAGCAAATTTTAAATCTGTATTTCTGAAAAATAGAAAAGGTAGCTATTACTTCAAATTAATCTTCATAATTAAATCAAACAAGTTCCTTCATGGTTTCACTTAAATGTTTAAAATCCTCTGAATTGCTATCTGTTTATTGATGATTAGAAGCTCTTTGTGGACTTTTTGTCTAAAAGAGAATAAATGAACTTGTGATTTTTGGTTTTATGATTAGCTAGATCAGTGGTTCTCAACCTTTCTAATGCCGTGACTCCATAATACAGTTCCCCATGTTGTGGTGACCCCCAAGTGGGTGTGGCCACCAATAAGAGGGAGTAGGACAGCTAGGGAAAAGGAAAAAAAATGGCGGACAGCGTGGTTTGGCGACCCCTGTGAAATGGTCATTCGACCCCAAATGGGGTCCCGACCCACAGGTTGAGAACCACTGAGCTAGATTGTGAAGAGTTACGATATAACTTTAGAGAGGTCAGTGTAAAATTGTAGCTGCTACTGTAGAGAAGATCAGAGCCACTTCCTTGTATCACTTTCTTTTCTATTTTTCTGCTAAGTATTCTTGTGCATCTTTAGCTTTTTCTTTATTCTTTTGACTCTACAGTATTTTAGTAGTCCCATTCTGGTGTTTAAAATTTTCATTAAAAATGTATGTATATGGTATATTCTTAATTGGTATCTACTGATAGAAAGGTTTTGATCCACTAGCTCAGTGTTTCCCAAACTTGACAATTTTAAGGCATGTGGACTTCAACTCCCAGAATTCCACAGCCAGCAACGCTGGCTGTGGAATTCTGGGAGTTGAAGTCCTCATGCCTTAAAATTGTCAAGTTTGGGAAACACTGCACTAGCTCATCTGTGGAATGGGAATGAAATTTGGAGGCAAGTCTGCCATGCTCTTCTAGAGGGATCTCAGCAATTCATGGTAGGGGTTGCCCAGAAAAGTGAAAATTAGCATCCTATACTCCAATGAGTTGAATCTGGATGAAGTTGCCTATACTGGGGCTGCCTTTCCTGGTCTCTTCAAGTGCTACTTGTTGAATGAGGTAAGCTCTTATGTTGGAAAAATGAAAGCAACACAACCTACCCACTCAAGGCTCATCTCCTTAGCATTCACTGTTTCATTCAGTCAGCTCAATGTGTTACATTTTTTTTCAGGAATGTATCCAGAGTAACAACTACAGAAAAGAAATGAAAGCTAAAGTTGAAGATTTGGGTGAAAAAAGCAGACTCCTACAGGCCAAAGATCGTGAAGAGGGTCTTGAGGTAGGACCACTTCAAACACAGATTAAAGGACATGCATCTGCTTCCAACTACAGAAAGCCTGAACACTCAGAAGATCCTGTTAGTACAGCAAATACATTTCAGCCTGGAGCCTGGATGCCTCCTAACCGTGAAAAATAAAAGTCCCCGTGCAAAGCATCAGGAAAGAGACATCATTTGGTTAATGAGCAGCATGAATGAACACACTTTTTAAAATTCCGTATTATATTTAAAAGCTTAGCAGCATTTTCAAAATGCTTAGATTCTATTGTTTCTTGTGGAAATGTTTAATTGCTTTTTATAAAATGTCCCATCTCTAATTCTTTTGCCTCTTAAATCATTTGATGTTTTCAAGTGAAGTTATACTTCAATAAAATTTACTGCTGCTGTAATCATTACATGTTACTACATGACTATATATGTTCTAGCTGTTAATGTTAAAAGAGCGTATGGCATATCCAATGTATGCTATACATACAGATACTCTCTTTAAATCCGTTAAACTATTATAACTTCTCATATTCCAAACTGCTTAATGTTGAAATTTAGTCATTCACATAAGTTCACAGCTTCTCCTAACATATTAAAAAATGATTTGTTTATGGAAGTGGATCCAAATGTTATTTATGAAAAGTAAGCAATGCTATAGTTATTTATTCGCTAATTATGTCTAATAAGATTTTGATAAGGTTCTAAATGTCACTAAACACAATAAATTATTTAGAAAGGGATACATTACAGTTAAAAATTTCCCACTGTAAATAAATGTCAGGACTTGTGCAAGTTACAAAGCTAATTTTAACATTATTTATTTAAAGTAGAAATTTAACGTTTCATAGCTTAACAAGTCAATAGCAATGTGCAATCATGAGCATATTTAAATGTCCTATACATTTTGTTTAAAATGCATACTTGTGCTTGGCATCCTTTGCATCAGGAGATGCATTTATTAGTTTCCTATCCTACATAATCCCTAACTTTATTCTTAGATCAGTAAACCAATGTTGGTTTAGTAATCATAATTTCACCAAACCAATGTCATAAATAAGATACCTCTGTTATATTTTTAAGTAACTGGATCTAAAAAAAAATAGGCTTCAAAGTGTTGCAAGATTTTCAAAGATGATGTTAAGAAGCCTTGGTTTTTAAAGAACTGAAACAGGAAGGCTTGACTAGAAATATATAAAAGGAATTGCTAATCGTTTGCCCACCAGGCATGAATCTTTGCCTTCAAAGGCAAGATACTGACTTTATAGGGAGCCATAATTTAGAATAAGAAGCTTCTATAGCAACTTTATGAAAGCAGCTGAAGGGGCTTGCTACAGGAAGAATGATGCTTGCCATTTGACCTAAACTGGCCAAAAGTCCCTAAAATTTGCCTTCAGTCTGCTTTAGCTAAACTAATAAACATGTGAGAACATTTGTAACTATTCATTCTGGTTGTTACAAGACTTAGTGATTGCCTACATTCAACTGAACACATTCACTATTGCTTTGTCCTCAAGAGTGTAGCCATCAAAAATATAATGTAACACAAATGAGAAAGTATTATCCAACAGCTATGGCTTATGCACAGACTATTCCAGTAATCATATTTTATGTTCTTTTTTTCCAAATACTTTGTAAATAAGGTTGCTGTCATTTACATTTAACAAGGATAATCTCTCGAATGATAATTTTAAGCTATCATGGATTGTATAATTGAGACAATCTGATTCTTACAAACCATTATGCTAAAGAATAGTGAAAATACTGGTTTTCAGTATGAAATCGGGATTCTTCATAATGTAGGAAAATTTTACAACAAAATTATATGCAAATTATTAAACAATTATTTTCTGTAGTATAAAATCATAAGACAGATTTTAATGAAAATAATAATTCATATCTATATAGTTACGTTATACATTATAAACTTACATTTTGCTTATATCCCAGGTTAGAAAAAAATCAGATTTCTTAAAAAAGCAATTAAAGTTCATGACCACAGAGTTTAATAGCACAAATTAAGGATACATTATTCCAGGAAAAAAATCTGTCATGTCCCATTTCTATAAGGATACAATAACAAAAAAGGAACATATATAGTAACGGTGCATTGCCAGAAAAATTTGGCCCAGTGAAATTGAATTCTTAGTCCTTCTTTATTCGTTTAGCTTTTATAATATTTTCTTGACGTTTTTGTTTCTTTTTTTGTTCCCGTTCCTTCACTTCAATCATTTTTGCCAGTTTCCATGATAGCACTGCACTTGCCAAGAATAGAGGTGTTAGAGCAAGGATCACTGTTGTAAGGAATCCATATGGATCTTTTGCAGCCCATTCTACAATATATTCAGCCCAAAATTTGATATTTTCAAACATCCTTCTTGCTATCTAATAGGGGAAAATCCTAAAAAAAAAAAAAGCATACTATTTTTCACAGAAAATTAAACAGATAACAACTGAATAATGCAGAAAGAAATTCAGAATAACCGAGCTGAAAGTGGCGTTGGAGAGGTCTTCTAGTCCAACCCCCTGCTCAGGCAGGAAACCCTATAACATTTTAGACAAATGGTTGTCCAATCTCTTCTTAAAAATCTCCAGTGTTAGAGTACCCACAAGTTCTGGAGGGAGGTCATTCCACTGATTAATTTTTCCAACAGTCAGGAAATTTCTCCTTAGTTTTAGGTTGGATTTCTCCTTGATTAGTTTCCATCTGTTGCTTCTTGTCCTGCTTTCAGGTGTTTTGGAGAATAGATTGACTCCCTCTTCTTTGTGGCAACCCCTTAGATATTGGAACCCTACCATCATATCATCCCTAGTTCTTTGTTTCATTCAAGACAAGATATACCCCTACTTTAGTATGTGAAATATAAATTTAAAACATCCCTTCATTTTTATGTTTAGGCTACAATGGCATTCCTGAACTACTGCAAGGATATGTCTTCCCTGCAGGGATAAGCAGCGAGTTCCAAACATATATGCTGTGAATTCTGCAGCCTTGATCAATAATGCTATACCCAGGTAGGAAAATAATAGATCAGTGAGAATCCAAAGTTTCCCTGATATCTTCCCAAATCAATTTCTAACCTTTGCTAACCCTGCAAACTGTCTTGATTTCACTGGAACAGAATACCCTCATTTGGAAGAGGAAACGGGTATAAGACAATATTTTTTTAAAAGCACAAAAGTTGCTCTTCCCTTCATTTTGCAGTAGATCTTTTGCCTTGTCAGTGATTCTAATGTCATAGCACTTCAAAATGTTAGGTAGGATTGCTGTCTCTTTAGAACAGGGGTCTTCAAACTTGGCCCTTTTATGACTCATGGACTTCAACCCCCAGAATTCCTCAGCCAGGCATGCTGGCTGAGGAATTCTGGGAGTTGAAGTCCATGAGTCATAAAAGGGCCAAGTTTGAAGATCCGTACTTTAGAAGATGTCAATCAAATTAATCAAATCAATTGATTCAGATTATATGGAGCCTTGAAAGAGCACTTTGTTTCAGTTGCGTCTTCACTTCAGTGGAATTCAGCATTCTGCCTGTAGGCACTTCTGTGCAAAAGATATTTCCACTAAAGCAAAATGACCAGGCAAAATATTGAGTGTCACTTCATTCCAGCAATTGTGTTTTAAATCAAGACAGCTCTGCAAAGCACCACCACATTACACTATATTAAGCAACACATTGATTCAAATTAATGAGAAAAACTACTTCAATACAAACAAAAACTTCATATTACAATAAAAGAACAGAATCTCCTGCAAAACAAAGACTTTTACAATATAGGTATAACCAAAAACCCCACAAGTTTGTAAGAACTCTTTGATGGCCAAAAACCTCAATTTTTTAAATGGTCTTAAAGAGGATGGAACCACATCATAAATTGAAGTTGAGATGATTGCAGACATTTCACCGCCATTCTCTCTTCATCTTAGGCAGAAAGACATTGCTAAATCAGATACCTCTTCAACTAGCATGACTATTACCACCATTTTCAAATCCTTTTAGATGTAAAAGAAGAGGCAGAGCCGGGTGGAATTAAGAAAGTGATCAGTCTGGACTTATTATTTGCCATAAGTGATCCAAGTTCAGCCCCCCCCCAAATTCCATTAACTCTTATCTTGCGCCAATTTTGTATTGACTGTTAGTTGATTAGAACTGTTTATATAGACTTCAGCAATAAATCTTCTAAACCAGGGGTCCCCAACCTCTGGACCGTGGCATTCCCCTCCACTCACACTAGTGCCTGCAGCCGTTTGTACATGATGCATGCAGGTGCAAAAGGACAGATGTGTGTGGCCCACTTGTACATGCACAAACGGGGCCACGGAGAGTGCGTAGCCATATGCGCATTACAGCAGCCCATGCTGCACACGAGTGGGGCCGCTAGTGCCACACCAGTGCAGATGGCCCCGTTTGCGTGCACGTGCACCAATTTGGAAGCTGCTCTCCTTCCCTCCAGGCCGTGAGCCCAGAAAGGTTAGAGACCTCTCTTCTAAACTGAAACTTAACGTATGGTCCTGATCCTTTGCGCCTGAGACTACTAGCTTAATTTAGTTTATTGATTAGCCCATAGGCCATATCAAAATACAGAGTTCCAAACTCAAATTATTAATAAAATCTTATAAAAACAATTTAAAATGAAACTGAAGTAAAATAAAATAAGATAAAATTATATTTCAGTATCACCCCTGCAATCTAACTCAAATCAGTCCCACATATGCCGATCTCAGCTGAACATTTTACTCAAGTACTATGCCGTGTTAAATGCTGTTTTCAGAGTCTGCCCGCATGTAAGGTATGTTGTTTTAATATGGGGTTTCCAATGGGTCATTTGTTTAATATATGAACCAAGGTACCTGAGTCTCCCCCCCTTATACAAATAACAATCAAATAATCAACACTACTAGAATAACAAGAACCCTGTATATTACAATTAGAAATATATTTACAATTCCTCCAGCAACATAAAAGGTGTCACAACTTACCCAAGAGGTCAAGAAACTCCAGTGTAGCAACACGTCAAAACTGGATATTGTTGTCATAAAAAACTATAAGAAAAAACATTGGGAAATTTAAAGTAGCTTCTGATTGTAGAAGTTGTACAGTAATACAAAACAGTTCAAATTGTGGTATTAAATAATACTCCATACTGTACAGATAGACAATGTATGACAATTGAGCACAAATTTCTGTTGCTAAGCGAGACAGTTAGTGAGCTTTGTCCCATTTTAAAACCTTTCTTGCCATAGTTGTTAAATGAATCACTGCAGTTGTTAAGTTAGCAACATTGTTGTCAAGTGAATCTGGCCTTCCATTTGACTTTGTCATGTCTCAGAAGATGATCACATGATCTAGGATAGGGGTAGACAACCTTGGCTCTTTTATGACTCGTGGACAACTCCTAGAATTCCTGAGCCAACTCAGGAATTCTGGGAGCTGAAGTCCACGAGTCATAAAAGAGCCAAGGTTGCCTATTCCTGATCTAGGACATTGCAATCATCATAAATACTAGTTGCCAAGCATTTGAATTTTGATCATGTGACCATGGAGATGCTACAACAATCTTAAGTGTGAAAAAGGGTCATAAGTCACTTTTTTCAATGCCATAACTTTGAATGGTCACTAAATGAACTGTTGTAAGTCAAGGACTATATATATCAAAATATCAAAGGTTCAGTTGCTAAGTTTCAGATAAATTTTAAAATATTTTAAGTGCTACTTAAAAATGTGGAACTGATTAGTAATTTGCTAAACTGTTCACAAAAATGGCAACTTCCATAAGTGTTCCATCTACCGGTATTAAACTTAAGGAAATTGAAAAGAAAAAATAGATCCAGTGAAACAGGAAAATAAACATTTTCCCTTCAGGCAAATTTCCATAATAAAATGATAATTTAGCACAGTGGTTCTCAACCTGTGGGTCACGACCCCATTTGGGGTCAAAAGACCATTTCATGGGGGTTGCCAAACAATGCAGTCCACCATTTTTTCCCCTTTTTCCTTAGCTGTGCTACTCCCTCTTATTCTATTGGCTTTTGAAAGCCAATAGAATAGATTCTATTCAAGAATCTATTGGCTTTCGAAAGCCAATAGAATAGACTCTCTTGAATAGAATTGTCCAGGCTGTCTCTGCCCTGCTGAGCCCGCCAAAAGTCCCAGTCTGCAAACGGTGCTGCAAGTTGTCTGCAGCTAAGGCAAGCTTTCTGGACGTTTCCACCCCTCCCTGCTGAGCAACTACTAAATGTAAGTAAAAGAGGGCCTGGGATGGGAGGCCGGCGGGCGCAGGGAGGGTTGCTGGCGCGCGTGGGGCCCGGCGGGTGCCTTACCTCCCTTGGGCTGGGCCAGCTGGTGGCCCAGCTGGTGATCGGCCTGCGCCCTCACTGCTGTGTGCCATGGCCACCCAGGAGGGCCTGGGCCTGCCTGCTGCTGCACCGAACATGCGGTGGCCAAGGTAAGGCTAGCGGGGCAGCGGCGGGTGCGCGTGGGACCCGGCGGGTGCCTTACCTCTCTTGGGCTGGGCCAGCTGGTGGCCCAGCCGGTGGTCGGCCTGCGCCGTCGCTTGCCAGCTATGCCTTGGCCGGTGTAGGGGGTGGCACCAGACATGTGCGACGCTCCCGGGCCGAGGCGGTTGCTGGGCAATGGCCTGTGTTCAACCTCGGTCTGCCCAGCGTGCGCTCCAGCCCAGGAAAGGAGGCAGAGCGTGCGCGCCTCCTCCTGCCCCGCCCACAGGGAAATACAGGTAGTCCTCGACTTATGACCACATGGTTGGGGGTCGCGGCATTAGGAAGGTTGAGAACCACTGATTTAGCACAAAAAAACTATAGCAACTTGTTCTTTTTACTTTTTTGAAGAAAACATTTAAAATGCAATTCTAAATAGATTTTTGCATAAGCAAATTTCATCAAGGCAATTAATTGAACCAAATGTGAAGACTTGTTTATGGTACATCAAACTGCATGCAAAATGTTGCCAAGACTCAAGACAGACTTTAAGACCCCCCCCCACAAAAAGGCTGCAGTCAATATTGCATACATTTGAACAGTCCCATGGATTGCAGTGGAAATTATTTCTAATAAGCATCCATTGTGCCATTTGGAGTCCACCCATTTATCTAAAAAATTGCCAAGGTTGAAAAAACACTTCCTTAGCCTCCCTGCTTATAGTGCCTAGTGAACTACATGAACAACTGTCATTCCCTACTTTCTTTTAATTTTGAAATCAGATGTTTTGGGTGATGGAAAGGTTGGTTCTCAGGAAGTACTCTTAGATTCAACTGACTTATTACTGGAGTTTAGAAGGATTTGCAAGCAGCGACATGAATACAGCTGTAAGGCCATCAGTTCCTAACATGAAGCCTCAGGAATGACGCAATGACAAACCTGTATTTTATTATATCCATCCATCTAGGCCAGGAACACACCTAAAACTCCTGCCTCCTATTTCCCCCCACCAACACACACACACACAGACACACACAGACACACATGTGAGTTGGGCGGGGCTAAGAAAGACTGGCCCAAAGCGGAGAGGGCTGGAAATTACGGGACATTTGCTCCACTGACTTCTGCTTCGGATCTACTGCGCCTGCGTGCGGAAGACTTCACCTGTTGAATTTCTGCAAGGGGGTGGGATGCGACAACAAAACATTGGCAACCGTAAGAAAGGTGCGGGGAAGGTCGCCTGCGACTCTTCAGCGCCCCCCACCCCCCCGCTTGGACAGCAAGCCGAGGAAAGGGACCGGATCACCGGGACCGCCCAGGCGAGGAAAGAGCCGAGCTGGGGCGCGGGCGCGTCTGGCGCGTGCACGACGGCGAGGCCCCGGCCCGACGTAGCGCGCGCGGCCACCTTCCCTCCTTCCTTTCCTCCCCCGATGCGGGACGGCTACCCATCCTCCTCCGCCCCCCAGATCTCGGCTCGAGGGTTCACTCACCCGCCAATCGGAAGGAGGAAGTAAAAGGAAGGCAACTTCCGACGGGAGCCCGCCTTCACCGGTATTCCCGAGCGGATGTGGAGGTGAAGAAAGGATTTACGTCATCCCTTCCGGGTAGGAAACCCCGCCTCTGCCTTTAAAGGAACGGGATTTCTTGGGGCAAGCAGAGAAAGGCAAAACCTAACCCAAAAAATCAGACTTGCACTGCGCCAGGCATAAACGCCTATAAATGCTATTATGAATACTAATATTAATCTTAAGTTTTAATGTTAATACTATTAGTATGGAAAATAATAGAGAAATATATGGGTGCGGTTGGATTGCTGGAAAGCCTTCCAGAAGCTCTGGTGGCTGGGGAATTCTGGGAGTTGAAGTTGCTGAGGTTATCTGGATCTTTTGTAGCCTTAATTATGGCTAAATGAAACTGAGCAGCAACGCAGCCCAGTAAATATTTCCTCCACCCTTTGATTAATAAAGACAGCTCTTCAGATAGTCCTCAATAACTGTCCAGTCTTTTCCACTTTTTATAAATCCCAAATCGCCACTCCTTACTTGGCAGCTTTTGGAGTAAGAAAAGACTGGCTGAACCACTCTCAGATCAGAAAAATGTCTCGTTGTTTCGATATGCATTTCCCCCCCCCCCCATTTTCTTGGTTTTGCCTGTCTGGGGAAAAAGAAAGCAAATTGAACCAAGAAGTGAACTACTTTTTTCTACCTCTGCACTTTTCTACCTTTGTAAGCCCAAGCGGCATACTCTACGAAGGGCAGGAGAGCCGGTGCAAGCGCCGAGCATGAGCGCTGGATGGAGGGAGTGGACGTGAAGGGGGCGGCGAGCACGTGGGACTATTTAAGGCGGAAGACGTCTTGAAAAGGACGTGGAGTCACGAAAAGCTGCTAGAAAGGCTAGTGGAAGATGTCCCACCCAATAAAGTGCAACTTTTGATCGAGTGAAATGCAAGGATAGGGTTTACTTGTGGTATCCGAAGCAGAACATCCAGATTCAGTCACGGTTTTGTTCCATACAGTATTAAACTTGTGAACTCCAAAGCTTCCCCCTTCCGTTATGTATTCAAGAGGGACAGTGATTAATATTTATGTTACTTATATGTAAGGTTGTAGGTATATACATGTTGTATATAGTATGTTTAAATGTGTGTTACGTATGTGTACACTTTGAGAACAAACAACTAAATTTCTTTTTTAATGTGTGCCATTGTGCCCACAGTAAAAAATGACAAAGGTTTATCATCCATCTATCTACCCACCCAACCATCCATCCATCCCCTTGTTGGTCTCAGAGGTATTCCATCCCAGCAAGAATTCATGGAATTCAGTTCAGCCCAACAAGTTCTGGATCTTCTTCCAATCATTCTCGTTTCATTGCTGTTAACGTTTATTTTTAACTCTCCACAATATTGCAAATAATAATCAGGAATTATCTGTGGATTTCACTCAAAAACATAGGTAAGTGAAAATGCATGGACAAAAGGTTGTCACCCGCAGTTATCCTGTAGTAAGATGGGTAGCCAATAAATTAAATAAATTTGTCCCCACACTTTTTCTAAAGCAGTTGAGCAATGATTTACTTGAGAAACTAAATATTCTGCACTTAATTTGAATAATGTGCATAATACTATGTCAGAGCGTGCACAGTCTTATTGCACAAGATAATCCAGTAGTAAACACAGTAAACAGTGATCTATATAAATGGTGCTTTATTTTACACTATCTACAAAATCATTCACCAGAAGCAATATACATACACATGCTAATACAGCAGGATCCAACACACCACAGTTACAGTAGGAAACAGAAGAAGAGAACACACATCTGTGGAGCCTTCCCTTTTATACAAAGGCTCTTAAAGAAACACAGACCCAGCTGGCTTTTGAAGGGACATAGACCCTGCTGAGTCATTCTCAACATTACATCTTACATTACATCAGCTGGTTAGCTTCTAAATCAGGGGTGTCAAACTGCCGGCCCATGGGCCGGATGCGTCACATCAAAACCACACACCCCATTACCAGCAATGGGAAAAAAGTCATGATATGTTGTGACACGTTACGTGATGTCATGAGTTTGACATCCGTGTTCTAAATCATAACCTTGAAACTCCTCCCATTTAAAGCTAAACAGCTGTTAACCCAAATGCTTTTACACATTCGATGATTGACTGCATTTAAAGGCTTAGTCAACATATGAACATTCCTTCTCTGTAAATCCTTGCATTATATTACCCATGCCTTATACTGCAGTTCATTATTGTGTAAAACCTTTTTATATACCCATTTAAACCCCACGGCTTTTTGTCCTTCTGTTAATCTCATAAAGGTAAACACCTGATGCACATTCATAGACTCCATTTCTCTGTTCATAGCCTCCTTCCATTTATCCTGTTCTACTTTAGGCAATGATAATATCTCTTGGTAATTTTGGGGATCCTACCTTACACTATACACTCTAACCCCACTTGCTGAGAACCGATCAGGAGGTACGCCTTTATTGCTACAGTATCATCTGTTCCTATGTTTCTGTTATTTCTCTCTTTACCTCAGATCTATCCTTTTCTATTTCTACTATTTCTGACCTGCTATTCTGTTCTTCATTGGGCTTTGTGTAGCCTCTCCTTCCTGAGAACTAGTGCTACGCATTGGCATGAACACTTCGGTGTTAGCATGCACCCTGTTCCAATTGTTTTGTTCTGCAAAACTAGCAGACCTTGAAATCACAACCTTCTTTGTTCCATCTGTGAATCTATACTCTTTGGAACCTGGCTCATATCCAACAAACCTAAGTTTCCTGGCCTTTTTCTGGCCTTTCCTTCTGGTCTTTTGGGAATATGTACCCAGACATAACTGCCAAATGTCCTTAGGTGAGCCAATGAAGGTTTCCTTCCATATAACAGGTAATATGGGGTTTCATTGATAGCAACACTCCATCCCCGGTTTACTAGATAGTTGCCTGTTTTCATGGCTTCCCCCCAGTATGTTTTACTCATTCCTGTTTTACTCATCCCTGCATCTGCCAGCAGTAAGTCTTTCATGGTTTGCAACATGCCATTCCTCTGTACAGCCACACCATTTTCTGCTGGTGAATATGGATTCGTACGTCTATGCCTTATGCCTCCTTGGCCACTTTTGGAAGTTGTCAAACATGAACTCTGTCCCCCTGTCTGTTTGCAGCTGGCATACTTTATGGCCATATCTTTGCTCTACAAAGTTCACCCATTGCCTGAACTGTTGAAGAACTTCTGTTTTGCTCTGTAATAAATAACGAAACCCATACCTGGTGTAGTCATCTACTAAGACTAGTACGTACCTAAGCTCCTCCTAGAGAGGGCACCATAGAACCAATTAAATCAGTGTGCACTAATTTCAAAACTCCTGTGTAATAAATGTACGCAATTATCATACGTGGGAGTGTTTGTAAGTGTTAATGCACAATCATCCTGCTTCTTTTCTAACAGGTATAAATTATCCAGCTTAACACCTTGTGCACAAATCCTCCCATCTTTCCTGATGGTGTATTGACCCTTTGCAAACAGTACTTCATACCCCATATTATCCAAGCTTGAAATACTGAGTAAATTATGGTCTAACTCTGGTACATATAATACATTATCCAATGTTTCTCCAATACCAGGTACATACACTTTACCTTCCCCTTTAACAGCAGACTGTTGTCCATTAGCCAAGCTAACAAATGTTTGCTTAGCTGGTCTTAGTTTTGAAAACATTTGTGGGTCATTTGCAATATGTTGACTCGCCCCATGTCCAACAGCCAGAGAAAATGTTGGTTATGTAGTTCTACGATCATGTTTCATTGCTCCTCAGTTTTCCTCTCAGGGCAGCATCTCTGGAGATGTTCTGTAGAACCACACATGAAGCAGCGTTTCACCATACAAACCTTCTCAGCTGCTTTACTGGCATCTTTGGATGTTGCAGTTGTAGGCCTGGTTTGTGCATTGTCACCCCCTATCTGCTACCTTTCCAGCTGTTTCTGTTCCTCCTCCAGCAACCGGCCAGTCAAATAACTCATGGTTAAGTTCCTCTCTTGCATGGACTCTAAACTGGTCACTATGATGTCCCATGAATTGTCCAATGAACTGAGCACCACATATACCTTATGTGCCTCAGTAAAAGTCATTCCTCTTTCTTCTAATTCTAGGAATGTCTTTCTCATGGACTGCAAATGAGTAGACATGCTTTCTCCCAGTTTCAGTTGGGCTTTATATAGCTTTCTTGTGAGCATTACTTTGCTGCTTGCAGTCTCTCTCACATACACACTGTGCAGAGTTTCCCAGCACTCTTTAGCAGACTGGAGAACCCTCACATGTATCAGCTGGCTATCCTCCAAACTCAGGATTATGCTGACCAATGCTTTCTCATTCTTTCTCCAGTCCCTATCATCCAGGGCTGCAGGTGGATCAGCAACTATCATTCACAACTCCTACCTTCTCAGGTACATCTCCATTTTCAGACTCCAGGAGAGGTAGATTGTCTCGTTCAGATGAGATACTATGAAACCTCCTCCCATTATGTTGACGGAGTCCATGTTGCCTGCTATCACCACTAACCACAACAAATCACAAGCCTTAACTTCTCTGGCTCTGGGTCAAGCTCTCACTGGGTTTCTCCTTATTCTGGGCCCATAATCTGTCAGAGCATGTACAGTCTTATTGTGCGAGATAACCCAGGAGTAAACACAGTAAACAGTGGTCTATATTAAATGGTGCTTTATCTTACACTATCTACACTATCATACACCAGGAACAATATACATACACGTGCTAATACAACAGGATCCAACACACCATAGTTACAAAAGGAAATGGAAGAGAGAGCACACATCTGCAGAGCCGTCCCTTTCATACAAAGGCTCTTAAAGAGACACAGATCCATCTGGCTTTTAAAGGGAAATAGACCCTGCTTAGTCACTCCCAACATTATATCATACATCTTATATTACATCAGCTGATTAGTTTCTAAATCATAACCTTGACATCCTACTTAGAAAATTCTTCCACCAATTTATTTGCAATTAATCTCCTTCAGATTCAGAATAGAGAACTTCTGGTTGAGGAGTTTTGGGGTG